GTAATATTTAAAATGAAAGGTTTATCACTTAAAGTTGCATCATTTATATTAATTACCACCGTATTCTGCAGATCACTAACTGCTTGGCTTGGCAGATCATGAACTAAAGCCTGAACAGCAATCTGGTCTGGCATATCCTAGGGTGAAGCAGGTCCCATTTCCTCCTTGTGATGCGACTTTTTAACTGAACCAGGTCCCATTTCCTCCTTGTGATGCGTCTTGTGAGAAGGAATTTTCTCTGTCTTATTATGCAGCTCTTGAACAGATATAGGATCTTTGGTGATCGGATCCAAAACCTCAGTATACACTTCTTCAGTTTCAGAGTCATCAATTATTTCAGGATGTGCTTTAGAAGATGATGGAAGATGGTCTAAAGCATTAGTTGTGGATGTAATATGTTGAGTAATCTTTGCCTTTCCCATATCAATAGTATTCTCATCCCCTAAAACCCTTTCTGAAGTTGTAGTCTTCTTATTCCTTTGACCATTCTGTGTGTTCTTAACAGCCCATATCTCCTTTTTCACCAACCCATCCTGGTTCAAAGCAACCTTTGGTTTATTCAAAATACACTGTCCTCTTTGGGCATGAAGCCCCAGAATGTCCTAAGTGTAGGCATTTAGCACAATAAAGAGGCTTATTCTCATTAATAACTGGTTGAGAAAAGCCGTTAGATCCACATTGGATCCAAACTTTGTTGGACATCTCCCCGGTGAGATCAAGCTCGACATAAACCCTAGCAACCGAAGGCCTAGACAAAGTTGCAGTAGCAGCATCAATTTTCAAGGGCCTTCCAATCATACTTGCAATGTCAAATAGTGCACGCTTATCGTGTAAATGAATGGGTAAATTTTCAAAAGATAACCAGACCGGGACAACCGGGGATTCCACATTTGGCATAAAATTCGGTGTCCATTTAGTAACACGCATAGCGCTACCAAATATATCCCAAACCTGCCGATCCCATAATCGAATATAGTCATGCTCTACCTCAAATCCAATTAAGATATGTTTTTTCTCTAACAACCCTAACTGAAACTTCCCTTTGAATCCAAACAATTCAAAGGCCTTACGCAGAGAATTCATAGGAGCTCGTCCCGAGAAAAATTAACCAATCAAATCCCTTTTATGCTTCGATTCCAGAAAATCAACCTCCACCTCCGAAAATGTTAGTGCAGGTGATAGAGTATATGGGCCTGGACCCCATGGCCCACCTACTCAACGGCCCAAAAGACACCAGCGGGACACCCGCATCGGCAAAAGGCACGTGACGCCCACAAGAGAAGATATCGCCTGATTTCCATGGACCGCATCGTCCGTAGACCGCATCGTCCATGGACCGCATCGTCCGTGGACCGCATCGTCCATGGACCGCTTCGTCCATGGACCGCTTCGTCCGGACTTCGTCCGGGCGGAATATATTTTCCCATTTTTTGTACTAAGTGTTGTACTCAGCCCATTAGTGGCCTTATTCGCCCAAAGAAGGCATGATTATTGTAATGGGCCTCCTAAGCCCAAGGCTAGGGGCCCAAATCCACATTCTTACCTATAAATAGACCCCAAGGGGCTAATTATGGGGGATTCTTTCCCCAATTGAGAAATACAATTACTCACTTTCTCTCTCTAGCTCTCACTTCTCTCTAGAATTAATACTCTATCATTTGGTGCTTTCATTGAGAGATTAGAACAGATCAAGTGAGTACCCCTCGTCGCTACTAGACGCAACAGAATGACAAGAACTAGGTCAAAGAACACCGGAAGGAATGCCCCTCTGAACCAGGAAGGGCAGGGAAACGTTGCTGACAACGTCCCCAATGATCTCATCATTCAGGATGAGAACGCTCAGGAGATCGAGCACGCGACGGCTGACCTTCGCGTCCAGCTCAACAAGACTGCCCCAGACGCCCGCATCGGGCTCGAGGACAAGCGCAATGCTGATCGCGCTTCGGGCCAGCAGGTTTCTCACCCTGCTGCCCCCCAGATCAACCCGGCCGCACTATCGGCCATCGTCGCGAGCATTCTCCAGGACCCCAACGTGGTCAGCGCTCTCGTCGCAAAGACAGGGGAGAACAACACTCCGGCAACTGGAGAGGTCGCAACGGTGCCGCCACCGCCACCTCGTCCGCAAGGCGTCACCTTCTTCGGTGACAACGAGGACGTCCTCGCCGTGGACACCCATTCCCACACTGCCTCACCTACCCGGGATACACCGGCCCAACCTCGCGGTAAAATCTCAGCCTTCAACAGGCTGGGTGACATCGCGAGCCGTCGGGTACCTACGGGAGGGGTGGCGGGTCGGTTGGGTGGCCGCGAGCCGGGGTCGCCAAAGGAAAGCTTCGGGTCCGTTTCCCGAACAACGGACCGGCCCCGACCTGACAAAGGCAAAGGAAAGCTGAATGATGACGATGCGCGCCACCAAATCAACCTCGCCCACGCGGCCCGGATCCAGACCCCTCTGGGCGGCGCCGCGGCCAACACAGACCCAAGGGACGAGATCATCGCCCGCTTGGAGAAGCGCCTTGCTGACATGGAGGCCCGAGAGGCCGCAGGGCGCGCATCGGCCCCGACATCCCATCATCCCAACTACGACGCGCTCCTGAGCAAGGTCAGTGCTCTGGAAAGGGAGTTGGCTGACCGGCGCGATGAGCCCGTCATCCAGATACGGACCAGAACCCCCTTCTCTGCGAGGGTGCTCTCCGCTCCCATCCCAGAGAAGTATAAGGGGAACCCGATCAAGCCATATGACGGCCGCACTGATCCCCAGGAGCACTTCACCCGTTATCAGAACAATATGATGATGACCAACGCTTCGGAAGAGTACATGTGTCGCTGGTTCCTATCCACCTTGGAAGGACCAGCGTACGATTGGTTCAACAACCTTCCGGAGGGGAGCATCGACTCATGGCAGGACCTTGCTCAACGCTTCCTCACCCACTTTGCCGGAAGGAAGCGTGCGAAGAAGCATTTCGCCCACCTCCTGACCATCAAACAACAATCGGAGGAGACACTCCGAGCCTTCCTCGATCGCTGGACAAGGGAGGCGGACGAATGTGAAGGGGCCGATGAACGCACTCTCTTGGCTTTCCTCCGCGGAGCACTACGGCCGAGCCACTTCGCCCGGAGCCTGTTCACGGAGCCGCCGCGGTCATACCTCGCGGCGCTCCGACGCGGAGATAGGCACGCTGATGCCGACGAGCTCCTGAACCAGAAGAAGGGTGGGGAGAAGCAACAAAAGAAGGACTCCTCGTCCAACCCCCACCACCCGCCGGCCAACAAAGGACAGCACCAGCCAAAGAAGGCACACCAGGAGCAAGGCGGACAGCGAAGAGAGGATCGTTCATGGCGTCCAAAGTTGGAGGCACAACGCATCCCCCTCACCCACCCGGTGAGCGTCGTCCTCGACCACGCCGAGGCGCAGGGCCTCATCGTGAAGGACCCCAGGTCAGAGGAGGAGATATTTGCGGTCCACAAAGGAGGGACATACTGCAAGTACCACCGCCAGACATCCCACAAGACCGAGGATTGCACCACCTTGAAGAGGCACATTGACGGCCTCATCCGACAGGGGGAACTTTCCCAATTTGTCAAGGGTGCCCCCAAGAGTAACACTTGGGTTAACCCTGGCAAAAGGGGGGAAGGATCCTCCGGGAAAAAGAGGGAGATCGGCGCCCTCAGTGAAGATGAGGACGAAGAGGAGCCCCGCGCGAAGAAGCATCACATTCACATCATCGTCGGCGGGAACACAGGGGGGGACTCGGCTACCCAACGGAAGAAGTGGGCCCAGTCCCTATACGTTGGTGAGGTGTCCCACGCTCCCCCTCAGCCGAAGCGACGGAGCATGGAAGCCATCACCTTCACCGACAAGGACCTCCCCTTCGGCCCCTTGCCCCACAGGGACGCCCTCGTCGTCAAATGCGAGATTGGCAACAACATCATTCACCGCAACTACATCGACACTGGCAGCTCTGTCAATGTGATGTACATTGACACCTTCAGACAACTGAAATTGAAGAAGTCCGAGCTCCGGCCGATACGGACTCCGTTATCCGGCTTCACCGGGGACTCTATCGACGCCGAGGGCACGATAGTGCTTCCCGTTGTGGTCGGTGACGGTACCTGTCAGGCGAAGATTGACATGGAGTTCGTGGTCGTCAACCTGGACAGCGCCCACAACATGATCTGGGGCCGACCGGCCTTGGAGGACCTTGAGGCCATCATCTCCATGAAACATCTATGCCTCAAGTTCCCCACCAAGGACGGCGTCGGCTACGCCAGAGGGAACCAGAAGATAGCCCGAGCTTGCTACCTGAAGCTCACCAGAAAGATCAATGAGGCCGAAGAGCGGATAGATACCATCACCACCGCCTCGGCCGAAGAAGACACACCAAAGGCCGAACCGGTCGGAGACGTGGAAGATGTTCCGTTGGACGTCTCCCGGCCGGAACGCACGCTGAAGATTGGGACACAGCTCCCCCAACAGATCCGAAGGGACGTCCTCTCTGTCTTGAGAGCGTACGCCGTCGTCTTCGCATGGGGACCGGAGGACATGCCGGGCATCAGCCCAAAGGTAATCACACATCGGCTATCGGTGAACCCGGCCTCCTCCCCCATCAAACAGAAGAAGCGCTACCTCTCAGCCGACAGGAGGGAATTTGTCAAGGCCGAGGTGGCCATGCTGCTCTCCATCAGGCACATAAAAGAGGTGAAGTACCCCACGTGGTTGGCGAACGTCGTCCTCGCACCAAAGCCGCCCACGTTCAGAATGTGTGTTGATTACACTGACCTGAACAAGGCGTGCCCAATGGACCCATTCCCTCTCCCCAACATTGATCAGTTGGTGGACGAGACGGCGGGGTGCGAGTTGATGTCGTTCCTCGACGCGTTCAGAGGGTACCACCAGATATCCATGCATGAAGATGACGCAGAGAAGACTGCTTTCATGACCCCGGAGGGAATTTTTTGCTACCTCGTCATGGCCTTTGGGCTCAAGAACTCCGGCGCCACCTACACAAGGATGGTAGCCCGGATTTTTAGAGCAGTCTTAGGTCGGACGATGGAAGCATACGTCGACGATATGATCGTCAAGAGCAAACGATCCACAACCCATGCCGACGACCTCCGGGGCATCTTCGAGATCATGAAGAGATACAACCTCCGGCTCAACCCAAAGAAGTGCACCTTCGGCGTCCAGGGAGGTAAATTCCTGGGGTACCTGGTCAGTCGAAGGGGCATCGAGGTGAACCCGGAGAAAATACAAGCCATCATCAACATGGAGCCACCCCGCAACATCAAAGAAGTACAACGGCTGACGGGACGCCTTGCGGCCCTGAACCGTTTCCTTTCAAAGTCCGCGGAGAAGTCGCTCCCCTTCTTCCAAATAATGAGAAAGGCCACTAGCTTCAAGTGGACAACGGAGTGCCAACAGGCCTTTGAAGAGCTGAAACAATATCTCGCCTCCCCACCCGTCCTATCCAAGCCCCAACCCGGCGAGACTCTCTTCCTCTACTTGGGGGTGAGCACGTCGGCCATTAGCTCAGTTCTCATCAGGGAAGACGACGGGGTGCAAAAGGCAATATTCTACGTTAGCAAGACGCTGCGGGAGGCCGAGCTCAGGTACTCCCCCATTGAGAAGACGGTGCTGGCCATCGTCCACACCGTGAAGAAGCTGGGGCACTATTTTCAAGCCCACCCTGTCCACGTCCTCACGCATCAGCCGTTGGGCGCCCTCATGAGGAGCCCAACCAGCTCTCCAAGGATGATCAAGTGGGCAATATTCCTGAGCCAGTACCAGATTGAGATCAAGCCGAGGCCATCCATCAAAGGGCAAGCCTTGGCTGATTTTGTCACCGAATGCACGGCAAGGGAGACGGCCGTTACCACCACAGGAGCTGAACCAGACGAAGCCTGGACCCTCTACACGGACGGGTCCTCGGCCGCCAAAGCTTGTGGGGGTGGCGTCGTCCTCATCTCCCCAGAAGGATTCAGAGCATACTATGCCATCCGCTTCAATTTCAAGGTATCCAACAATGAAGCCGAGTATGAAGCGCTCCTTAGCGGACTCAGACTGGCCGCTGGCCTCAAAGCGCGCCACGTCAGAGTCAAATGCGACTCCAAACTCGTAGTGAACCAAATGGAGGGTTCCTACGAGGCCAAAGAAGGGAGGATGAAGCAATACAAGGAGGCCGCTGCGGAATTGCTCAAGGCGTTCGACACCTACGAGATCACTCAGATCCCAAGGGCGGAGAACGCCGAGGCCGACATCCTCTCTAAACTAAGCTCCGACACCCCTGAGCACATCTCCAAGATAGCTAAGGTGGAGGAGTTGAGCATGTCAAGCATTCACGCAAGCCCCATACTCTCCATACAGCACCAGCCGGAGGACTGGATCACTGACATCGCAACATACATCACCTCCGGCACACTACCCGAGGACGAGGAGAGGGCCAAACTAGCCAAGCTTAGGGCGCCAAGCTACGTCATTGAGGGTGACAAGCTTTACAAGAGATCATACAATGGTACCCTCCTCCGGTGTCTACATCAGAATGAGACCGAAGTGGCCATGGAAGAAGTCCACTGCGGCGTCTGTTCATCACATCAGGGGCCCTTCAGCATGTCGCGCCGCCTCGTCGTCCAAGGCTACTTCTGGCCGACGATGGCGCGCGATTGTGCTGAGGTCGCCCGCAGATGTACCGCATGCCAACACTATCAAAGGGCACCTGGCCGACCCGCCGTCAACTACGCCCCGGTCAGCACCGCCATTCCATTTTCCAGATGGGGCATCGACCTCGTCGGCCCACTACCAAGAGCAGCGGGCAACAACAGATACATCATCGTCGCCATCGACTACTTCACCAAATGGGTCGAAGCCGAACCGCTCGCAAGCATCACCGGAGCACGGTGCCGAAGGTTCGTCTACAAGAACATTCTCACCCGCTTCGGCGTGCCTCAGGAGATCATATCAGACAACGGCACCCAGTTTGAGGCCGAACCGTTCCAAAGCCTCCTCCAAGAATGGGGTATCAAGCACCGTTTCTCCTCCGTCGCCTACCCCCAGGCCAACGGGCAAGTTGAGAACGCCAACAGAACCATCTTGGAGGGGCTAAAGAAGAAACTCGAGGAAGAAGGCGGAAGTTGGGTCGACGAGCTCCCCAACGTCATATGGTCCTACCGCACAACGCCGAGGAGGGCCACCGGGGAGACACCATTCTCCTTGTGCTACGGCTTCGAAGCCAAGGCTCCCACTGAGGTGACGCTTCCCAGCCGACGGGTCACACAATACGACCCCGAGGCCAATGAAGAAGCCATGAAGATTGACTTGCACCTCATTGACGAAAGACGGGAGATGGCTTACCTTCGGGCAGAAAACTACAGACGCCAAGTCAAATCCTACTATGACGCCAAGGTACGCTCCCGCGAATTCCAAGTGGGGGACTACGTCCTCCGCCGACGGGAAGCAAGCAAGCCGACGGAAGGAGGAAAGCTCGCCGTCAAATATGAAGGGCCCTACATCATCAGCGCCGTCATCAGAGCCGGCACTTATAGACTAAAGAACCCTAATGGGTCAGATGTACCACGATTGTGGAATGTACACCACCTGGTGAAATTTTACCAATAACTCGAGAAGCGGTGAAGCGGGCAACGTCCCCCACCCCTCGGCTTAGTGGTTGAATAAAACACCCCCGGCCTAGCGCCACTTATTGAATAAAATTCATGTTTCATCCAATCTTTTAAGATTTGAACGAAGGGAAACCTAAGGACCGCATCGGCCTAAGTGGTGCAATCACCCGGGTCCGATACGACCCAAAGCCGTCGCAATAAACGACGCACCTAAAGCCGTCGCAATAAACAACGCACCTAAAGCCGTCGCAATAAACGACGCACCCAAAGCCGTTGCAATAAACAACGCACCCAAAGCCGTTGCAATACACAACGCACCTAAGGCCGTTGCGATCCACAACGCGCCTACAAAAGCCGTTGCAATAAACAACGCACCTAAATATCGTATCGGCACAAGCGGTGAAACACCCAAATCGGCCGGCGATATGCAGGACGAAGGACCTGTGTGCATGGTCCAACGTCTTCAAAACGGAGAAGCATACCGCGTCGTCCGCGCGGAAACCGCAGGACGACAGGCCTGAATTAAGGCTGAGGTTACAAAAACTCCACCCGTCAGTAAAATTTCGCTCAGGACCACAAAGGGCGGCCGTCATGAGACGATGCCTAGTCCGGTCCCTCGTCGACGATAGACGTGGAAAGGCAAAAAAAAAAAGATGCCACTGACACCAAGCCGAGGGCGTATTTACTCCCTCGCATTAGTTCACGCGAAAAGCGTAGCGGATAAACTACCGCACATGGACGAAGGGACAGTAACCCTTCGGCCACCCAAAAAAAAAAAAAAAAAAAAAAAAAAAAAAAAAAAAAGAGGGAAGCCGACGGACCGCGCACTCGCCGGCCTCGAGCATAAAATAAAATCCCCACAAAAACTAAAGCCTCAAAGTTGGCTAAGTACATCTCAGGTTTTCACTATATAAAGATCCGAAGTGCACGCGTCGGCCTCAACCGTAGCATCAAAAAGGGAATCGCTTCGGCTTCGGTTATACAAAACCAGTCCATTACTCGGACTATGGGACGCACCGTCTCCAATTAGCAAAACCCGAGTGACGAACCAAAGCAAAACACCTACATCAAGAAAGCTTGCCACTTAGAACATTTTCTAAGTCGCACTACAAGAGAGACGATGCGCTACGTCCTCAACACTTCAGAATTAAGTTCCGAGAAGTTGACTCGGGAAAAATGTAAAGGCAAAAATGGAATTCATCTAGGGACGACGAGGCTCTTCGTCTTCAAAGTAAGGAGGTCGCTACGTCTCAGCTGACGGATGTCACAAGATTAACTCTTGGCGCTTAGAAAGATTTCGAAACTATGGGGCGATACCTTACCTAAGACGCAAGGGACGTAGCGCAGCGCAAAGAAAAAGTTTCAACACTTGGTAAATTTTTGAAACATTTTCTAAACACAACAGTTCGGACGGAGGGGCGCATCGCCCCTAAACATCAGATACAAGGAACACGCGCAACGTCCTCATACACATACCAGTAAGGCGAGGGTGCCCCCACATCAACACAAAGGAAACGATGGAACACATCGTCTCAGACTTGGCAAATTCGCCAAGATAAAAACTTGCAAAGCAATGTCACTAAGACGACGCGACACTGACAAACCAAAGGCCAAACATAAAAGAGAAAATGAAGCAAGGAACAACATTCATACTTGAACAAAGGTGTTATCATTAATAATTCAAAAAGAGGGCGCTTCGGCCATTACAAAAAGGGCGCTTCGGCCATTACATACACTAGGGCGCTTCGGCCATTGGGGCTACAACTATGAATATAAAAAAGAAGTACAAGGCACTAAGCAGCTCGTCCTTGGCCACCCTCAACGGCTCCGCTGTCCGCATCATCTTGCTCATCCTCGGTATTCTTGGACTTAGCCGAGCTCCGAAAGAGGTAGTCGTCACTCTCGGTCCAGGGCCCGTCTTCCTCGCTAGAGCTCAGAATGGGGGGTTGCCTCTCGGACAGTGGGAGCTTCAACTCCTCCTCGGGGTCCTTCATTATCCGAGGAAGGCCGATACCCCTGGGCTTCAGGTTCTTAACGCGACGGCGGAGGCGTCGGTAAACCAACATCTGCATACGCCTCTGGCCGAGGTCGTACCAGACTTCAAACTCCTCTTTCAGGCGGGCTCGGCCAGCTTCCTTCTGAGACCACGCCTCGAAGCGCTCCGCCACGACTTCAAAACTCCAGTCGCGCCGGGTCTCGTCCTTCCACCCTTCGGCCATGAAGAGCTCCACGGCTCTGTCAGCAGCTGCAATCGCATCGGCCTCTAGCTTCACAGCTCTTTCCTCTGCAAGCCGACGAGCAGCCGCTTCTTCGTCCAATTGAACCTTGAGGCGCCTCGCCTCGTCCTCAGCAGCGACGGCTCTCCTTTCAGCCGCATCAGACTTTTCCTTCAAGGAGTCAGTCTCAGTCCGGAGCCGCTCCAATTGGGAAAGCGCCTCGTCAGCAGAGGCGGCTCTCTTCTCAGCTTCGCGAAGGCGAGCAAGCTCCTCGTCCTGCCGCCGCTGCTGCTCCATGAGCATGAAGGCACCCTGCAGAAGCATGCAACATTAGAAGAAGAAGGGAATACAAAATATTACTAAGTACAAGAGTCAGGACTCACCTGGACGACGTAGTCCAGCCCGCCGTCGAAGAGACGCACATCCTTGCTCTGCCGACGCAGGTACTCCCTGTCGGCATCGGGAATGGCCTGGAACAAGACGTCGTGGCCAGACACCTTCTCATTAAAAAGCCCGCCCTTGGTCGGGTACCGCACCGTCACCTCATAAAGACCGGAGGTCAGGTCTCGGTCAGCACGGGCACTCTTCTTCGCAGCAGCCCCGGACTTAGCAGGAGCAAGGGCGGACGAGGCGACGTTCAACGTCAGATCCTCGATGATGGGCACATCAGAAGCGGCTCCCCCTTGGAACGATGCCTGCGTGTCGGCCAAAGGAGCGTCATTGGGAGGAGGGTTCGGCTTCGTCTTCTTGGCGCCTTCAGCCGGCACCAGACCCGCCTCAGTAAGAGTACGCTGCCCCTCAGCAGTCTTCTTCCTCTTCACCACCGGCTTTTTTGCCGCATCAGCAATACCCCTAGAGCCGTCTCCAGAACCCTTGGACGCCTCGGCTCGCTGGGCAGCCTCCAACTCCTTGGCAACCTGCTTCTTGGCCTGAGCCATGAACATTTTACGACTCATCTCGTAACCTGCAAGGGCAAAAACCAAAGGAAAAAGAGTTAGAAGCAAAGAAAAATACTAAGTACAAAGAGATTCAAAGGCAAGTGTCAACCTTCGGCCTCGGCCGGAATCCCTAGAAGTGGCCCATCGGCCTGTTCAAAAGAGCCAGAGATCTTCGGCCACAAACCACAATCCGGGTCGCCAGGAATGTAATACCGCATCATCCCAAGAGCCGCAATCTTAAACTCAGTAATGTACGTGTTCACACTCCTCGGCCCACCTTTTAGGAATGCCTCAACTTGGGCATCGAGCTCAGCGCTACGCGGCGGATCATGCAGGCTAAAATTACCATTATGCCCTTGCGAAGGAAAGAAAACCCCATCGGCCAACTTCACGAATACAAACTTCGCCTTCCACCCATGGATAGACGAAGGGAGATCTTTGAAAGATTTCTTCTCCGGAAGTTGCTGAAGCGTAGCATAACCAGCACAATTCTTATGGCTCCCTCGGCCGATCCGGAACAAATTTGTAAAAAGGGCCGTCGTGGGCTCAAAACCCAGCTCGTCGCAGCGGATGAGGAACCCGACGATCAGTGAGAAACTATTCGGCGTCAACAGCGCCGGGGGGAGATCTACCATCCTCAAGTACTCAATCACAAAAGGGGGCAGCGGAAACCGTAGTCCTTGCGAGAACCCCATCGGATAAACCCCGAAGTACCCAGGAGGAGGATCCAGAACATGGTCCGTCGGCCTAGGCTCCCTCACCTTTCCATAAGGCCCAACATACAGCTGAGCCAAATGATAATCACCTCGGGTGCCCTCGGGCCTTATGACATACAGATTTGTCAAGTCCAACTGGGACAACCCGCCAGCCGCAGGCTTCCTCCGACGCGACGCGCGTTCCTTGGTAACCCTAGAAGACGACGCCACACCCGGCACAGACGAAATAGGTGGGGGGCAGGGGATGGCGGCCGAAGAGGCATCACCCGCTTCATCTCCCCGAAGCTTGGGTTCTGAGCTCGCCTCGTCCTCACCCGATTGTTGGGAACCCGCGTCATCATTCAGACGCTCCTCGTCCTGAGAAGTGCGGTAATCGGCAGTATTCTCCATCTCTGTTTCAAACGCTCGAACTATCTCAAGATTCACTCCAGGAGACGGGTCCTCGTCGTCAAAAGGCCAAGCCGACTCGTCTAAAGAAGCTGTTAAGTTAAGAGGGGAGGGGACGCTACGGCCGTCAGGGAACGGCATAACAACTATGCTACGTCCTAAGGGTTGTTCGAGGATCAAAGTGATTTTTCCTAGAAACACTAGATCTAACCCCCTAGGAAGCAAAGTATAAAGAAAAAAGGGAGAACAAGTCAAGAACCTAACCTTGGAGTAGGTGAAAATCCGAAGAAACACTTGAAGATTTCTGGAAGCACTTTATCTCTCTAGAAATCTCAGCAGCACTTCAACTCTAGCAAAAGCAAATGAGGAAGGGGCTGCGGAATGAGGGGGTATTTATAAACATCCTCCAACGGTCACTACACGTGGCACCCACGCATTGGCCACGACAACGGCCACCCTTCTCCCAACCAATCAGGGGGCAACAATTCAAAAATCACTCACGCAAGCACCCCTACGGCCCAACTCAACCTTACAAAGAGCAAGGCATCGGCCAAAAACCACTACGGCCCAAGTACCACAGAGCTTCAAAGCAAGCGTCGGCCCATACGGCCGAAAAAGGAACGCATCGGCCTAACCCTACGTCCTCACGACAACCCAAGAAACCTTAAATAGACCGCCACGGCTGCTTGTGCGCGCATCGTCGATGATAACCCTGGCATTGCGGCCTTCGTCCAAGGGTTCTCCCACAGGGTTACCTTGGACAGGTTCGCCTAAGGGTTGGAGTCACGACCAACGCATAGGTACCGGATCGGCTCATTACTCCCTTGTGCCTCAGATGCTCTTCAGCCAAAGGAGTGGGGGACTGGGGGACTGTATCGGCCACAAGAAGAGAGAGCGCAACGGCCTTAGTACAAAAGGGTGCGCTACGGCTTGCCAACAACAAAAAAACTGGGGATCGCATCGGCTACAGAACCCAGGAATTAGAACCCCAAGATAAAGAAAAAATCTAACGCAACGGCTACGTACACTGAGAGGGCCGCATCGTCTCACCATAACAAAAACAAAGGTGCGCATCGCATCGTCCACGTAGACAAAATCAACCATCCTCACCTCATAAGACAAAGTTATCGCTGCGGCCAAGGAGTCATGAGGAAGCTCTTCGGCCCCAGCAAGATGACGACGAAAGCATGCCAACTTATCCACCAAGGCTTCATCACATCATCTACAAAAAAGAAAGCACATCGCCTCGTCTTCAAGAGCACTTACACAGAGTGTGCATCGGCCCGCATAAAGGCTATGAGTTCCCAAGCGCGCTTCATCTACCTCAAATAAGGGAATCGCTTCATCCAAAATCAAAACAGGAACTCTTCGGCCAGCCAAAAAGGAACAAGTACTCCCTTTCGCTTCGGCTTCACCTCAGCTCAGAGAGTGGGGGACTCCTGATAGAGTATATGGGCCTGGACCCCATGGCCCACCTACTCAACGGCCCAAAAGACACCAGCGGGACACCCGCATCGGCAAAAGGCACGTGACGCCCACAAGAGAAGATATCGCCTGATTTCCATGGACCGCATCGTCCGTAGACCGCATCGTCCATGGACCGCATCGTCCGTGGACCGCATCGTCCATGGACCGCTTCGTCCATGGACCGCTTCGTCCGGACTTCGTCCGGGCGGAATATATTTTCCCATTTTTTGTACTAAGTGTTGTACTCAGCCCATTAGTGGCCTTATTCGCCCAAAGAAGGCATGATTATTGTAATGGGCCTCCTAAGCCCAAGGCTAGGGGCCCAAATCCACATTCTTACCTATAAATAGACCCCAAGGGGCTAATTATGGGGGATTCTTTCCCCAATTGAGAAATACAATTACTCACTTTCTCTCTCTAGCTCTCACTTCTCTCTAGAATTAATACTCTATCAGCAGGCATTCCTTTGAATCGAGTAATCTCCTTCTTTGACTATGGCTGGCCGGGTTGGGAATCAAATTCCCCAGACACAACCGATGCAAATGATCTACCAGACCATGCCTTCTCGTTGGCCAGAGGGGGAGGCGCCGCCCCCTCCACAGCCGCAAGTTTGTTCATCTGCCGTGAGCCTTCAAAATCGCCAGCCGCAATTCTAGCTCTGATGATACGGTTAGCAACACAAGAGGGGGGGGGGGGGTGAATTGTGTGTCTGTGGAACCGTGGCAGTTTTTCGCCAAGTTCTAATGTGGGGTAAAGAGAATTGTGAAATAGTAAAGTGCACAAGGATTTAATGAGGAAAAATCCCTTGGCTCAAAAGGGATGAAAAAACCTTGACCTCCCTCGGGGGAATTTTAAACAACTTCACTAATTAAGCCTTTGAAAGATTACAAGAGTGATTCTCCTAATCTACCCTTGAGCCTCCCCAACTCTATCCTCTCTAGGAAGAGTTTCGCTTCTCTACCTTGCGGGTAGAGAGCCTCTCGGCTTTACAGCAAAGCCCTCACAACACACTTGATCCCAACCCGAGGAAGCTACACTTAGCTAGTCCTCAAAACTGAATTACAAAATAAAGGGGATAAAGAAATCTATCTAGAACTCCATATGAGCACTTTTCAGGCGCCTTGGACTTGGTATTTTCCTGAGTGACTCTTATGATCCTTTTCTTTGGTCAAGCACACATTCTTCTTTTTCTTGATCTTGATTATATAGTCTGCTGGATCCATTGAGCCGTTGAGGCCTTTCTTGGTTTAGAGGACTTGCCTTAATTCATTTTGAATTTATTTCCTTTCTCATCATGGCTTCAAATATAAGGCAGTCAAAATCAAATCATTCAAGATATTATGATTATCAATAATTCAATCACATACCAAGTATAAATGCATTTTACTCAAAACATATGAGATTAATCAAGGAGAGGATATTCCCGGCCTTTTGAGATTACTTCCATAGATCAGAAGGCACGCCTCGGTCACCTACTAAGAAGGCAAGGATTGCAACGGCCATAAAGGGAATTACCCTTATAGACTAGATTTGATTATTAAGGATGTTTTTACTTGGACTGTAATTTGTTGGTCTGGTCTGGTCTGGTCTGATCTGGTCTGGTCTGGTCTGAACTGGTCTGGTCTGGTCTGGTAAGGTCTGGTTTCTTTGTATTTTTATAACTATCCAAGTCTGGTCTGGTCTGGTCTAGTCTGAACTGGTCTGGTCTGGTCTGGTCTGGGACAAATTACGGTCCAAGTAAAAACATCCTCCTTTCCATTGAGCCTTTTTCCTAATGATGTCTTTTTCAAAAATATTCTTTCCATTCTTAAAAAGTCAAGCTATGCAAGTACCTCAATGATGTTACGTGCTCCTTATTTATAAAGGAAGGATTTCTTTTCCTAAAAATGAATCCTTGAAAATCAATTTGTGCATGCATGGCATTTAACGTCACAATCTATATTAGCTCTTAACCAAGGCACATAGTTGTAAGAACCAGAAGTGGTTCATAGATATAAACATTAGTGAGTTCTTTTCGTTGTTCCATCTGCATGGTTAGTCATCAACAAAGCAACATATTCAACAGCACGGGCTTTAATTACGGAGTATAAAAGAACTGTTTGTACACACTTCTTTATAGATAATCACAAGTATTCACGTACGTGAACAAACTATTTTTTGTTGGATAGCCTGTTTTAGACAAAACATGTTCACACAATCATTCATATGTAGAGATAGTATACAAAAAAGTGTATACAACAAATTGGACTTTAATTATTTTCTGTTTTTGCTTTGCGATCGTGTTGAGTTTTTTCAGATCTAAATCTTTTGCATGCTACCATGGCTTCTGGCCTTCTGCTCGATCTGTTTTACTTACGCTTTACCTCTGTGAGTATTCAAATAAATGTGATTGCTAGCTTGTGGGCAGGGGCGGAGCTAGAGCACTAGGCCGGACTGGGCCGATACAAAGAATAATTTTTGAAAATTTTTTACACGGATTTTTTTACACTAAAAATACAGCCATTTTTAAAATTTGGGCTGGGCCAGGGCCAGGGATGGCCCTCCTCTAGCTCCGCCCATGCTTGTGGGTTTTTGAACATGCGATCGAGTACACGGTTGCTATGTGTAGCTTCTTCTGTAAGTTAATTTTATTACGAGCATTTATTATTTATACAATAGAAATTACTTCAAATAGGAGTAAAACTATGACAAAAACTCAAAATAAGACTTGCTATGTTTTTTATTCCAAAATAGGACCATAGTGGTCCTATTGGAAACATACTCATTTCTTCCTTCCATTCTTACCCCTCCTTTAAATATTAGTAAAAGATAGCTAAAAGTCATAATTAAATGTTTAATTCATAATAAATTCGAAAAAAATTCAATAATTCGTAGAAAAATAAAAAAAATTAATAAAATTTTATAAAATAAAAAATAAGAAAAGAAAAATTATATTTTTTTTTTGAAATTAATAAAAAATAGTAAAACTCCATTAAAAAATTAAAAAAATATGGATACCTTTCCCACCGCCTGTACTACCTCCCTGAACCACCACCTCCGATCGGTGTAAAAAATGCCACTTTTTTTAAATTCCACAAAAATGGCATATTTCTCTATGAGAATGCCAACATTTTCATTCTGCAAACTTGAATCATTTTGACTTTTGCCAAAAATATGACATTCATAATTTTTTGGCATTTTTTTACCCCGGTGACAGGAGGTGATGGTACCGCCTCCCTGCACCACCACCTCCGACCGTTAAAAAAATGTCATATTTCCTACAAACTTCCATTTTTTTTTCCCGGAAAATGCCAAAAATATGGCATATTTCTCTTTGACAATGCCAACATTTTTTTTCTTCCATCTTAAATCATTTTGAATTATGCCAAAAATATGGAATACATAATAAATTTCGCATTTTTCCCCCAAATGACTAGAGGTGGTGGTGCTGGGGCGGCAGAGGCGGCGGCGACAAAAACTTTTTTTTTTATTTTTTTAACTTTGTTTTATTTTTTATTAATTTTTTGGTATATTTTACGAATTTTTATTATTTTTATTATTTTATTATGAATTAAAACATTCCAATAGGTATAAGGGTATATTTGTCCAAGACACACATAATTAGTCCAATGGAAACGTAGTTTGTTTTTTGGTCCTATTTATATAAAGTGAATGACTTTTAGTCCCATTTTGATAATTAAGTCTTTATACACTAACGAAACGTTATCATTTATACTTCCGTTTCACTCCAAATTGAGTGGACAGCTGCCGCCAATCATGATGCAAGCACATGACTATACTGCTTTTGTTTCTTTTATTTTTAAAAATAAAAAATTCATAATAATTGGAGTAAAACATGTACTACATCCATTTTTAGGGCTAGTTTGCAAACGCTTTAAAAAAAGCACTTCTCGGCTTTTGGCTTTAAAAAAGCACTTCTTTTACCAAGCACTACAACTTTTATTTTTCTCGGCTTTCGTGTCAAAAGTGCTTTTACTTTTTCTATTACACAAAAAACACTTATTTTACCAAACACTACCAACTTTTACTTTTCAAAATCACTTTTTTCTCAAACACTATCAACTTTTATTTAATCACTTTTCCTCATTTCATTAAAAAAAGCACTTTTTTAAAAGCAGAAGCTGTTGCAAACAGACCCTTACTCCCTCCGTATCACATATATCTTCCCACTTCCAAAGTGGGTGACATTAAAAATAGTGAAATGAGGTATGAATTATTGAGGGTATGATGGGAAGATAGTAAAATAATGTGATGAAATGAAGGATAAATCCAAAAAAAAGTAGGTGTAATAGTGTATTATTTTTTAAATTATTGAGGGTATGATAGGAAGATTTAGAAATGAGAAGATATAAATGTTACATCCAAAAATGGAAAGTGCGAAGATATGAATGTTACGGAGGGGTACAAGTCGAACAGTCCATTTTTTACATTATTTGTTGATGCATAATTTTAATCATTAATACGTAGTATATTTAATTCTCTCTAAATAAAAAAATAAAATAAAATTCAGAATTTGAAAATTTAGATGAGATAAATTTGACAATATTTTTTAAAACTAATTTATTAATATAGTATTAAATAAAACATAATTAAAGTAGAACATGTTAAAAATATAAAAATTGAACATATTGCACTTATTTAAAAACGGATAACATATTCTTCAAAAAAAATAAAAACGGATAACATAAACTTAACAAATAGACCAACTACACTATATAGGTTTTATTCTAAAAAACTTATTTAGTCCAAAGTCAAAACAAAAGCACTAAAAATATTGCATGCGCTATCATAATTGATACTCCGTATGATTTACACATTTAAAATTCAGAATATATACAAACTAGTACCTTTACCCGTGCCGTGCACGGATTAAAATGATTTTGCTTTTTATTTTACTAATGGAAAATCACTAATTTAGTCGATTATAATGTAGATTTATAATGCATACTCTAATTTATTGAGTAGTCTTATTTTTGAAGTAATTATCTAAATATGTTTGCACTCTATATTTTTCAATGAAAATAACATTTTTTGTAACTCTACATTCAAACAAAATTAATCTTTTTAAATATATTTTCCTAAACAAAAAAGAAAATGCTTAATTAATGTCTATTTTTTCCACTAAATTTCACTTGTAGCTTCCCATTTTTTTCAAAACTAACTACATGTTTTTGTAATTTACTTATCTAAAAGTGAGTGTAGTCAATTGTTTAAGTTATCAGCCCTAGGTTTTAGAATTTTGTAAATTAGCCCTTCAATCACTTTCTAAGATTTATTTTCATAGATTTATTTTGAAAATTAGAATCACTTGGAAATTTATTTTGAAAATTTTGCGAATTTATTTAGCCTCAATTTTTCTTAGATTTATTTTGCAAACTTTGCAAATTTATGGCTTCAATGGTATTAAGATTCAT